ATTATTTATTTATCTCTTTCTTTCTTTCTTTCTTTTCATTCATTCATTCATTCTGAAATATATTTCGATATGTCTATTGCTATATTTTATAAGACATTTTATATTAATTATAATTCGAATAAATTTACTGCCTTACATGGGGTGAAGCCGCTGGTGATATGTTTTGCTATAATTATTGTATAAGATGCTTATGGCACAATGTAAACTGATATACGCATCATTTCCACATCCTGAGCTCTTTGTCTATTGTAACATTCTGTAAGAGAAGTCATTCGAATCCAGTAAGAAAACACGTCTAGTGCCACTATGAGAAAAGTGAAGCTCATTAATAAGAATGACTTAATATAAATAGCTTGTTAAACATCACGCAATGTCCTAAAACATTCACTAAGCTTAATTCTGGTCAAGAGAACTGGCGCATTAATGAAGATCGTTGATACTAAATTAGCAATGATCAAGTAAAATAAATTGGCTCACATCTACTCCCGGCCAGATGTCCACATTAAATTGCAATTCGTGAATCGTGTATTTATCTAGAATTATAAAGCATATTGCATTTTTTTATCGAATTCACCCCATGTAAGGATGGAAAGCCACTAAGGCATAAAGGGTGACTGAGAGTGGAAAAAAAATGAAAATAGAAACGTTACTAAGGATCGAGAACAACAGAAGAGAAAACAGGAAGACACTAGATGACGACTGACATTGCATTTAAATTTTTGAAGATCGAAGTTGGCCGTAAGCGAGAAACGAGGGAAAATAAATCGTTACGGTTACGCCTAGCCAATTCAACTGTGATTTGGTGAGACCTTTCCGCCAATCTAGTACTGCGCTTAAATTTATAAAGTCTACGTACCATGACAACGAACTCATCCGAACAATTATCCTGAAAACATTTATGGAAGAGGCACAGAGAAACAACTTTAAGGCAGTGAGAGAGTGAGGAAAGCCGAGACACCAGGTCATGACGAATATGGTTCAAAATGGGTGTCCATAAATATCGTTAGAGGTACAAATTGCTAGTCACCTGGAACTTTTACTCTAGTGCAGTGAAAAAGTATTGCCTCAGATTTGGGATCTTCAAGGATCAGACACGTTTTATTTATGTCGTTATGACAAAACCGATTTCTGACTGGTCTCCAAGAAAGGAACATGAAAATGGTCACTGTTCTCCTCCCCTTAGTTACCGTGGTAATTAGTATCTATTTAATATTATTATAATTAGCAATTTGTTAAGTAAATATTTTTCAATAAGGGGGAATTCGTAAACTTGTCATATAGTATATTATAAAATATATAACAGTTCTGTATTATTTTTTTGTTTTTATTGATTCTGAAATAATTCTCTTGTCTTAGTGCTTTGCTTCAGTCAATCGGTTATGAGCCATGCGTGTTACACGTTTAGACAATCATGTATCTTTCGATACATGACAGACGAGGCAGATTTTTTTTCCCGCAGTAGGTCGTTATTTCTTCCTGCGGTAGACCAGTTACCATCCAAGGCTATAGAACCCGGTCTGTCCTGCTATTTACCCTTAGCTGGTGGGGGGAGGGAGAATGGATTCATACCTTTTGACTGGAACTTAGTTTCTAGAAAAAATTCTTTTAATAAACTTCTACGTCTTCGTATATTTCTGTGGTATTTTCAATTGTTACTCAGATACTTGACTTTCTTCACCTGCTTGATTTTGATATCCCCGACATGTAGGATACGCTTTGGACCATCTCTTTTACTTACGAGTAAAAATTACATTTTATAGCTCTTTTTTCTTGCTTTTCTATTAGTTTGTATAAGATTCATTTTAGTTTCCTTTCTTTGTCTGCTACTAACACAAATGAGTCGATGGCTAATCTATAGACTCATAATGCAGACATCTTTAACTGTCAAGCCATAGAACTACTCATATAACGGATTGTAGTTTATAATGTAAGCAAAAGGCAGAGCCGCCGGTGATATGCTTTGCTGTAATTATTGTATAAGATACTTACGGCACGCAAGAAACCCCGAGACTGATATCTAATAATTATGCAGTATTATGATTTCTAAGGTCAACGAGCAATATGAGACACGTACAGTTGAGTGCGTCCTTCCCTTCCGGTGACGCATGCGTACACAGGGAAAAATATTTGTGTTATAATCTTCAAGAGGCGAATGTCCAATAAAGTAGAGATGTGAATAAGCAATCATCAACGCGATGCAATCAGTCTTTGGGGCATTTTTTTTTTTTTTTATGTGAGCCATTGTTGCATATATCGTATTAATTTCCAAGGGTCGTCTTCATAATGAAACCTTAAATGTTATTATTTACATATTTCTTCGGTGTTATTAATAAAAAAATAAATATAAAACTTATTCGTCCGCCTGCTCATTGAATTCTTCTCGGAATCATTGTTATCGTTTATTCCGATTATACACGGAATATTTTTCCATTTTTTATGCATTTTATAAAGCTACCCGGTATTGCCCAGGTAATATTATTTTTAACTGCCATATTTATCATAGATCGCCGAGTGTGGATTTATGAGTAAGATCTTATACAGCGTGGCATCTTTAATAATGGATATATTTAATATGTTTGAAAATATATTTAGTTACATATAGAACCAAATTTACATTATTCGGATTATTGTCCTCATAATTGTCGCCATGTTTATCACAACGTTTCGGCCGTTGTACGCCTCGGCCTTCTTCAGGTGGTTGGAATGACAAGGACACATGCCACTGTGTATAAAGGCGTTAGTTAGATCCAGTGACAGGACCAAAGAGTGTGAGTTCAATATCAGGTTAAGGCAGTGGGGAACTTTCAGAGGGGAATTAACAGAAGATAACTGACATCCATTAGATATGGCACGTGGGAATAGAACAGTCTACCCCAGTGAGCGAAATAAAGGGTTCGGTTCGACATTCCAACCACCTGAAGAAGGCTGGAGCGTACAACGACCGAAACATTATGATAAACATGGCGACAAAGATGAGGACAATAGCCCGAATAATGTAAATAGTGTACATAATACCTCATCTCAGAAATATAGACAGATATAGAACCATGTTCAAATGTTTTTGATGCTAGTAAATATTTAATTTATTTGTTTTTTTACGTTATATCAGTCTTTTTCTTTTCAATTATTGAATGCCAAAATCTGTTGTGCATATAATCGGCGTGGGAAGTTAAGTTATTTTCGGTTTTTTATGTGTTTTTAGTTAAAAGAAAAAAAGAAGAAAAATTAGTCCGATGAAGTCACATGAAAACGTTTTACACTTTGTCATACATCTTTACCCCCAAATTATTCTTGATATATAAAATGTACATATCGTTATCATATATATATATATATATATATATATATATATATATATATATATATATATATAGTTATACTCGTTTGGAAAAACCTTAGGTATTTTGGTTTGTAATTGAACAAACCAATGGCCAAGGGAAAATAAAGGGATAAAAAACGAAAAGAACGAAGACCATAAAATTGAGGCGAAAACAATCCTTCTGGATCCAAGCTCAGATCCAAAAAAAAAACCTCCAAAACGAGTAAAGCAAAACTACGTAAAGTGCACAATACACTAAGCAGAGCAAACCTAAATATGAAACTAAAGAGCCAGGCAAACCTAACTAGGTTTCACCTATACAGATCGTCAGCGTCGACCCTGACGATACGTATAAGTGAAACCTGGTTTTTAGGTTCATATATATATATATATATATATATATATATATATATATATATATATATATATATATATAGTCATCCACTGACAGACTGTTTCGCTGTATCACAGCTCTTCAGTGTGTCTAGACGTCCGATTGCTTCAAGCCGGGATCTAAACCCGACCAATTTGATATGAGTCAGAGATCCTTACCTTATCTTATAGGCATATATTAGTTACTAGAGTCTTGCGTCGTTTTCGACTTAAGAGTTATTAGAACCAACAGCCAGACTGCCAGCAAACGTCATTTGATTATAGTGCTACAGAAAGAACGGCGCATTTTCGAAATACTGACGTTATTTTTCAGTTTAAAATATGAAAATAGCGTTTCTCTACATTCCAGTTGCTAGGTACATTCTGTTTTTGTTTTTATTAGTTACTTTGTTCAATTAATTTCATTTTCGTATTTTGCTTTGATAAAGTCCACACTGGACGAAACGCGTCAGCAATTACCAGTTTTCCTATTGTCATTTTTATTCATTTATATATATATATATATATATATATATATATATATATATATATATATATATATATATATATATATAATTTTAAAACAAAGGAATATTGATTTTAATTTTAAAGTCTCTAAGGCCCTTTCAACCAACATCTTATCAGGAGACAATCTCCTGATGAGATGTTAGTTGAAAGAGCCTTTTAGAGACTTTTAAAATTAAAATCAATATATTCCTTGTTTTTAAAATTATATATAAATTTTGTACCTCTAAACATTTGTATATATATATATATATATATATATATATATATATATATATATATATATATATATATATATGAATGATATGTCCAGATCTGGCATCTCGACTCCAGTCACTTTCTTACAGACATGATGTGCCTTCCCTCTGTCTTTTCTATACATATTTTCAAGGCAAATGATCTAACGAGCTATTGTCACTGATGCCCCCAACTGCATGAATTTAAGCGTGATACTAGGTTGGCATCTTGGTCCCTGTCGACTCACTTAAATGTAACCGCCTCTTCTACTCCAACAGCTTCTTCTCTCGCACTTCCCGACGGTGGAACTCCCTTCCTCTTACTTTCTTCCCTGGTAATTATAATCTTCGAAAATTTAAATGTAATTTCAATCGGCATCTGATGCTTTGATCTTGCTCCCCGTCCTTCTCTCTATCCTTTGCTAGAACATATCTCTTTACTCTTGCTCACACTCTGTGTAACCCTTTGTGTGCTAGTGGCCTTCCCTCCTTGCTTGAGGTGAAATGCTTAAAAACATACACTTAAATTCAGAAAGTCATGCTGAAAG